ATTAATATAAATATATAAGTATATATATCTCCTCTTTTTCAGAGGAGTTTGTGAAGATAAAGTTTGAGTGCTTAAAAAAAAGGCAATATTGGGTGATCTCCCCTCTTCTTGACCCCAGGTATCGAGAGGACTGTTCTGCATTAGGTATATTTGCAATAGCTGTAATGCTTGTTGCAGTTGTTTAGCCATCTGATGAATCTTCATTAGCCTTAAGATGCTTCATAAAACTTTTTAATATAAGCCACTCCTTTAATCTTAGGACCTGTTCTTCTGTCCCTCTGATGCACTTCAAGGAAACAGTTTTCTAGCAGTGGCTGTTGCATGTGTTTTTAATGAGCCTGTGTTGCTTAGAGCTGGAAAATAGCTCTATAATGCATATTTGCTATTTGTTCAAGTTCCTTGGCCATCCAATGATTCAGCATTTTTCCTTTATAGTTTTTCATTGAGGTTTTCAGATCTATAGTCATTAGAGAAGAATAGGATTATGGAAGGACGTTGAATCTAACCTTAGAGCATTTTAATGGTGCGTGGTGGTGTGATAGGGTATCTCCTTCAGTCAAAAATAAAATGCAGGCAGTCTTTTCTAGCTTGCAGGTTTGTTGTCCGCTGTGCTGCTGGATGACAGAGCAGTTCACATCTGGGGATCTGAGAGTTAGAGAGCAGGGATAGATTTCACTGTGCCTTGTCTTGGCCATAAAATGTTTTGTGCAGGCTAGTCCAGGCAAGCGTGAATTGTAGCCTATACATGACAATGCCACCTTTAATATTAAAGCAGAGAGATACTTTGACTTCTTAACTGGAGAACCTTTCAATGCTTAACTAAGAGCTTTTTTTTTTTGAAGTTCAATATTCTTTAACTTTAGGAAGAAAGATTTTTATCTTAGAAGGTAGAAGCAAGCTTGAAAAAAGATGTTAAGATGAAATGAACTGCAGAGCCTACTACTTGTATAGCTTTCCTTTAAAGTTGGAGTGAAAGAAAATTGTCACTTGAGTCCTCTTACGTGCTGAGGGGGAAGTGCAGCTTTGGTAACAGATGCACAGGATACCTCTGTGCTGTCAATAACTTCCTAAGCAATAAATGGTCACTCCTTTGGTTTTATTTCCTAAACCAATTAGATTAATGAGTTCTATAAAGTAGATAGGTAAAATGCATTTGCTGAAAAATGGTAGTTTAGTATTGCTACCAGCTTGACATGCTTTGTATTAATAATCTGAAGTTTAGACTTTCTATCACTGCCATTACAGCCTTTTGCCATGTGTAAGGTTTTGGTTCTTCATTTCTTTTAACATGCGTTTAAAAGAATCTTTATTATTTAAAGAAAATGGACTTGAGCTCTGAGCTGGCAATATTCTAGCTATTTCATAAATAGGTATGAAATTCATGTATACAAGTGGAGCTTCCATAACTTGCCCTTACATCGTCCCCAGAGTTCCAGCTGCAGCTTGCAGAGTCACCTAGAGAAACTCTTGCAGTTGGATGTTACTGGATTTGAATAGTGAAAACATTTGAGAACTCTTATCATTGGGGTTACTCACTGTCTACCCTTCCCCTTACTGTGCTCTGCTTATTCTTAACATTTACTGAAGCACTTGTGTAATTCCATTGTACTGACTATAATTGTGTCTCATCTCCTAGTACTGAAGCTTCTATACCAAGAATAAAATGGATAAAAATACAAAATATTCATAAAAAAGGAAGATGCATTGGCAGTTCCATAATCTTATATCCTAGAATCCTCTCGTCCCATGTGGTAGCTGATACTTTGTGCACAATTGGTCGCAGTTAATGGAGCCTGGCAGGAGCGGTGCTGCTGCTTTCTGTGAGAGCAAGGCAGGATGCTTATAGAGTGTATTGCAGCAGTGATCATAATTATCAGTATTTCCACTGAGGATGAGGATAAGCAGGATACAGAGTTGAGAATGGCCCCTTGACAATTCTGGATTCACGTGCATATTTTGTCTCAAAATGTCAAATACTGGCTTCACAAAGTGCTCTATGAAATGCTTGTTAAAGGTGTTTTGTCTTTACTGTAGAGATAACGGTAAAATGGAAACAAGCTAATTTATGTACATAATGCAAGCCTACCAGAGCATTTACTATTGCTTAGTAATTTTGCAGCCAATGGAGTATACTGTGTGTTTCGCTTTATTTTTAAAATTAAACTTGCACTGGAGAACTTTAATATCCCAGCTACTAGGTTATGCAGATCTTGCAACTTTATAAGAACAAAAAGGAGGCAAAAAGAGCCTCGGATCAAGATAAAGCTGCTGGTTGTCAGCGTGTGGGTGTGGTGTGTTTGGCTGCCTTGAAAAATGAGCTATTTCCTATGGATTACGTTCCAGGGTTTTTTAATATTTCCTTTGGGACACTTTTTTAAATTGGCCTTCCTGTGATGAACTTTGCAAGGCAAAGGAAAATTCAGTTCTACAGTAGATCTTCATCATCTCAGTGTTTTCTTTGCTAGGTTTTGTCTTAACCAGTTTGAATACTTTTGGTTTGAATGTTCTTGTGTGCTATCAAACTTACCACCTGTTGAATTTATCTTTTTTTGAAAAAGGTGAAGACTTGTTAATAGAACGAGTGGCGCATGCTGGCATGATCAACCCAGAAGATCGGTGGAAGACGCTGAAATTTAATGGTCCTGTTGCCCATTTTGAAGTACAGATAAGAGTGAAGTGTGATGAAAATTACTACAGCGCTCTGTGCAATAAATTCTGTGGCCCTCGAGACGATTTTGTTGGTCACTACACCTGTGATCAAAATGGAAACAAAGCCTGCATGGAAGGTTGGATGGGAGAAGAATGTAAACAAGGTTGTATTGTTTGTTTCATTTTAGACTAGCTCTAATGTGTATATATATGGGTATAAGCTGCAGTATAGTGTTGGTGCTATAGCATATTAGTTTGAACACGTACAGACTTTGTCCTTTGAACACAAATCTTTGGGAAAACATCCTCTGTGGAGAGTGGAGCCCAGGGATACAGAGTTGTTTGCAGTGTGTGCTAGGGGGCCTACACAACAAATTTAGCATTCAAAATAGTGCAGTATCCTTGTACTAACTGACTTTATTCAATGGTGTTAGTTCAAAGCGAAATGATATTAATGTAAGATTGAACAGTGACATCAGTGATACTGTAGGCTTTAATCCTGTAAGGATTCCCTTGCAACGCTATTTTCACAAATGAAAAAGTTTTAAGTGTAATGCATGCAAAGCTGAAAGCTTTTGTGTTAGTTTAAAGCGAAATGATATATTACATTTATTAATGTAAGATTGAACAGGGATATCAGTGATACTGTAGGCTTTAATCCTGTAAAAAATTCCCTTGCAACGCTATTTTCACAAATGAAAAAGTTTTAAGTGTAATGCATGCAAAGCTGAAAGCTTTTTGATAGCTCTTAATGTGAACAGAAGTTCAAGTGTAGTCATCCTTTTTAATGTGCCACTGAATCAAAACTCTTTGCATTTTGCCTTCAGCCTCTGTGAGTAATTAGTGCTAAAACTGCTGGACATACTTGTCTTTCTCTTGAGGGCTGCTTGTTCTTGTTTTCCATTCCTTTTCAGTAAAAACCCTGTTAATGACAGGGGAGACCATTTTTTAGGGCTCACTCAAGGCCTTGTGTATCTCTTGAAGCTTGGGATTTCCAGCATAATACCACTCCAATGCCAGGTTTAAAAAATAACTGTATTTGATAAGTGTTCCAGTGCTGACATGCTGGCTGCAACCGTATTTAGTAGCAACTTTTTCAAGGAGATACCTTCATTTATTTTTTCATAAATGGTTTTAATGGGTGGTTTTGTGAAGCAGCTGGAAGCAGCAAGTGTTGGAAGGAGCGTGGCAGAAGACAGTCTGCTTTGCACAAGCAATGAATAGTCAAAATGACAGCAGCCCTACTTGAGCAGTTTGATTGCTGCTGTACTAATGGATACCTTGCTGTCCAGACTCATGCCTAAATACTTCTTTTTCCTTTACAGCTGTCTGTAAACAAGGGTGTAATTTGCTCCATGGGGGTTGCAGTACACCTGGGGAATGCAAGTAAGTCTGCCTGCTTGAGTGTCGTCTTTTGAGTATTGATCTTTCTAGTGTTTTCCATGTATGTTGCTCCTTTTAAAGAAAAAGCTCTATGCCAATCCATGTTTTCGTATAGTTTTTGAATGTGTAGGAACTGCTTATACTTCATACTGTTTTGCAATCCTGTTCTATTTTTTGCACGCGTAGGGCTGTACAGATTTTCTTCATGTAATCCAAATCTATGCCTCTATGAAATGATATTAATCTTATCTTTTTCCTTTTCAAAATCCTCAGGAGCTTTGATCTCTATGTACTATTTGTTGCCCTCAAATATAAAGGACACTCATATTTGATCACCAGAACATAGTAAACTTAGCTTTTCCAAGAAAAAATATTTTTTTGGTAGGGATGGAGATACAGTAGCAACCCCAACCTGACCTTTCTACCCCAGGTGAATGTTTATTTGTCCCTAAGTGTGAGAGAACAGATTCTGAAAAAATGTTCCCTTAACTTTGTTACGAAGCGTAAGTAGCCTCTGATAGCAAGAGTTGATTGTTTCCTTGTAGAAGTTCAGGCATCCAATGCAGGGAGGTCAAGGGGAAATGAGTGTTATTTTTACCTTGGTTGTTGAAGGAATGGGACAGGTATACTTGCAGGTTTAGCATCCTGTGTGAGCTCTTGAGTTTATTTGTGGTCAGAGTTGTGTGCGTAGTTGTAAGAGTGGATCTGTGCAGCGGTTGCTTTGTAAGCTGTGTTGAATCTGCTTGCTTGGAATTCTATGAACCTGACCAGGCTGCCAGAACCCCTGAGAGCTGACAAATACCATTTCACACAATCCCAGACCGTTAGGGATTGGAAGGGACCTCAAAAGCTCATCCAGTCCAACCCCCCTGCCGTAGCAGGAACACCCAGATGAGGTTACACAGGAAGGCGTCCAGGCGGGTTTTGAATGTCTCCAGAGAAGGAGACATTTGTGACAAGCCGTGATAGTTTAAGGTAATTCTGCTTCACCCTCCTGCTGTAGTAACTACAGCCATCACAGAAGTGGCAGAAATAGGATGCGAGGTGCTTAGCTTTGCTGGGCTTAGAGCTAAGTTTGGCTTGAAGTGTCAGTTTGTGAGTTGTGGCAGCTGACGTGCAAACAGTCCCATCCTACTGGACAGCCTGAAGTTTGACAGTGGGCTATGGCAGATAACAACGTAAGCCTTAACTCGCTGCACCACAGAATGGTTTCTTACTGCCCTGAAGTTTCCATCAGGTGCTGCAGACTTGTGGAAGACTTGGTGTGTTGTAGCTTTGAAATCTGACTGAAAACTGTATGAATGCAGTGCTTCAGTGCACGTGCAGCTACACTTCTGAAGGGCTAGGAAACCTTCCTTAAAAGAGACTTTTTTTTTACAAGGTAAATGTTTAAACTATGGCTCCCTGTTCATAAGAATATTTCTATTTAATGTTATTTGGGATCTTTTTTATTACTAAATATTTTGCTTGTGATTTTCAGGTATTCTGTGCCCTTCTGCTGTTGGTGGTTTTTCAGGTTACAAGTAGAGATTATGGTTGAGAGCTGGGCCAGTATGATTTCTGCTTGAGCAAGAAGTACTCCTTCCCTTGAGCCTCCCAAGTAAACATTTTTCCCCTTGAGAACATAATCTAATGAATTCTGATTCATGTAAGGGTTTCTGGAGTCCTGTAGGTCTCAAAGCAGCGTCCTAGGAGCCAGTGGCTGTTCAGTTTTTGAATGCAAGCAGCCTTTGAATAAAGGTGAAAAAGCAATAGGCTTAATCAAATGCAAACCAGTACCCTTTTGGAGGGGGAAACGAGTGGAGGTGGTGCAGTTTTTTTAGCTTTTGTTTCTCTTTGGTACCAGCTGTATCTGGGAAGACAGAAGTGGGAGAGAAGGAGGAAGGTTTGAAGAAGGGAATACAAAACCTTTGATGCAGGGCTGGGTGGCCATGGTACATTTTTAACGTAGTCTCATATATGCAAAGCCTTTCCTTACAGCATGTCACTGGCATCTGGTGGTGTGAGTCTAGGTGCTTGCTAGCCTGCCCAGCTAAACAAAGCTCACAAAAATAACATTGAGTACATTGAAAGATTATGACTGGAAATCTCGCTATTTTGCTGGGTAGAGTCTTTCTTCTGAAAGAAAGCACTGGGTAAAGGAACAGGAGACTTGGTGTTTCAGGTGGGTTATGTGCCATCTGTCGTGATTCTTAATGCCTGTCTGCTGAAGTGATAGATCTGCTATCAGCAGGTTGAAGGCAAACTATGGCCTTTATGTATGGCCACTCTGTTTCCAGCACTGCAGAAGGTTCTCAGCAACCTCTTTAAATGTGATTTGATAGCTTCAGCTTGTTCACACACATCTTTAGCTTGGATTCTCTAATAGTTATTAGGTTATATTAGAAATGTTGCTTTTAACCCAAATGGATAATACTTTCTGTAGAAAAATGATGCTGGACTAAAAATAAGCAAGGCTTACAGACATGACCTTTATCTTCAGCAGTACAAAGGAAGCTGTTATTTAAAAGAAACTGCTATGTTTGGTGCTATTGAATTATAATCTAGATTTCTTCATCCTGGTTTTTGGACACTTGCCACTGTCATTTAACAGATGAAAACAATGTCCTTTTTTAATCCAGAAAGAAAATGAAAATGTGAGAAAAACATGGGTGTGAGATGTATGGAAATCTACTGGTGTCAATAGCTGCTTGGTTGCCAAAATCTGCAGTGGCATTTATAAATAGAAAAGTTGGAGAAAGATTTCCATCTTCAACTTGTATGAACATGCGGGTAACTTAAGCAATGGCTCTGAGCCTTCAGCCTAACTCTCACAGCAAGGACCTACCCTCCATGCTTTGATGTTCCAATGTAATTTAGAGCTGTTCTTGGATTAAATGTTATACCAAAAACAAATCTTAGAAGTAGCTAAATGACTGCAGATGGATACAGGATAAGCTGTTAGCTGTAGCTGTACGTCATGTTGGGCAAGTTCATGTATCCCTTTTTTGATGGAGTTACGTTGTGAGGTTTATAAATTGGTTTTTTTAGGCTTTCATCAAATAAATGGAAAATAAGTAGGGGATGACCTGGTGTCTCAGAATGACCTCATGTAGGAAGCAGTTGTGTGATGTTGCTGGGTCTAGGGGACAGGTTTTTGTCATTGTGGAAACAATTCAGCAAAAGTAAAAATTTACTGAATAATGAGCAAAACTACATCACTGAGGAAAGCAAAAGTAATTTAGCTGGATCTTGCAAAGATGGGAAACCTCAAAAACAACCTTTATCTGTATCTAGGCTCAAAGTGTTTGGCCTGTGATCTTGAGGTTTTTTGGCCTGGAGTGGTGGACCAAATGGTCTTGTTGATTGACTTCACTAGCCAAAGGTAGTAGGAAGGTTTGTCAAAGAAACAGCACTGCCAAGCCATGATGATTGGTGCTTTTTGTATGTTTTTGCATAATTTGAAGTACTCTGTTAAATTCCATTAAACTGTCTAGAGAAGATGAAGGTTGATCTAATGGCTGACAACTGGCATGGGCTCAATTACCCGATTAAATTATCAAAGTGGAGTATAGAGAAACCACAAATGACAGTCTTCTTCCTTGATTAAAACTGCTTGACTTGAGTATGATTGGTACCACTCATAAACTGTCGGTAGGCTTAACGGCTTAATCTTTCACTTCCTTGTGATCCAGAGTGGAATGGGTTTGGCAGGAGTTACATTGTCATACTCCTGCCAGGGTGCTGGTTTGTTCAGAAGTCTTTCTGCTTTTCCTGTTGCTTTTGAATGTTTGAATTTCTCTTACAAAACAAAAGGGGTCAAATCCATTACACTGCTGAGCTTGTGTTCTGCTGCTGGAGCCATGGTAGGTCCTAGGTTATGTCCTGGGAAACACAAGTCTTACTTCCCTAAACTGTGGTAGAAAAAACTGTGTGTGCTAGCTGCTGTGGCATCCGACCATTTCAGTTTCTGCAGCTTGGACTAGTTATGGTCCCTAAAAAGCATAAGGCTATTGTTTGGCCCTTCAGGAATGCACTTGGTACCAATACAGGACATCTCCTTTCTCCTCCTTGATGCAAGGTATTGTATCACAGCTTTGAGTTTCAAAGAGCTTGCAAAATTATTCCAATTGCTGTGTGTTTTCTTGCCCGTTATCATAGCCAGCATGCTTTTATGTCCTGGTGGTAAGCCTGCTGGGATTGTTGGCAAGTATTTCACAGGTAGACACATTAAGTTAGGCAAAAAAGAATGCCATGTTTTGTTTCTTTATTGGTCAAGGAGCTCAGGCAAGCTCTGCACTCACTTCCTTGCAGGGTTACTGGGTAGGAAGGCACAGAATATATACTGAAGGTGGATGCTGCTTCCCGGAGAATGTGAGCGGATATTTGGGAAGTAAAAACATGTAGCACTTCAACCTGTCAGCAATAGTAGGTAGCACAGACAAATTAAAACAGTAGATCAAAGGAGTGTTGAGAACCCAATATCCATACTAAAAACACTTCAGTCTTCTCTATTTTAGACTAGCTCTAGTCTGGTCTTGTTGGATTGACTGCCTGCTTGCAGCTGGAACACATTAGGTGTGCTCCTGGCTTATGCTGTCTTACGTTACCTTAGTTAAACCTAAAAGGAATCCAGTTCCTGTGTTTCAGAACAGCTCGGTGATGTGAACCAACACCATCAACAGGAATGATCAGGCAGTTTACTTTCAAGGCATGCTCCTGGTGTGTACCAATGCAACTGTAGACACATCCTTAGAGCCACTTACTGCGAGTTAACTGAGCAGCCTTTCCCCATGTGTTCTGGGTGGGCAACTTTGAACCATCCCCACTATCTGCTCATTCACAAAACTCTGAATAAAGTACTGAAGTAAGAATGTTAGCTTTTAGTGACTTCCTTTGCTAGAGAAAAGAGTTTGTAGTGA